GGGGGGCGGTTAAAGGAATCGGTTGGGTTGGGGGAACGTCGGTGCGGGCGTCTGCGCATGGGAGCTGCAGCCCACGGCCGCCACACGAACTACGGGTGAGCAGCCGCAGACTCCAGTCCTATACCCAGTACCCCTCTTGGTTCATGGTGCTGTGCCCGGCACACCAGTATGACTGACATAGCATCACTTAAGCCCCATCCCCAGCGGCAAGGAGACCGACATGATGAGGCTAGAAGACAGATGCCTCGTCTCTACCACAGAGTCTCAAACGGCGGTCGGCGAATTGTCTGAGTGGTCGACACTCGTCAGTAATGTTCAGAGACAAATCAAGTAAACCTCGAAAAATAAAACAGGGAGTTCCACAGGTTGGTGTCCTTTACCCATTTATATTTCCAAGCTCCCTCAACCACTAGAGGGAGTATCGATTGTCTCTTACGCTGAAATTGATGACTTGTGCTTTAAAGTAAACGGGTGTCTCTCCGAGCTTTCTCGCTTCTTCACCAATTCCGACGATGAATAACCCCAAAATACTCGGAGTAATCTTCGACAGTCTGCTCTCCTTCTCTGCGCACGCAACCGCAATTGTCAACAAAGTACAGAGCCGCAGCAGGGTCCTCAATTCGCTAGCCGACACTACTTGGGGCGAAGACAAAGAAACGTTGCTGGCAACATACAAGGCAATTGGCCAGCCGGTTTTAAATTACTCAGCACGAGTGTGGTCGCCGGGGACTAGTAGGTACAGTGGATGAAGCTGCAGACGACATAAAACACTGCACTTCGGACAGCGACTGGATGTCTTCTGATGTCGCCAGAACACCACCTGCATGACGAGGCGAAAATGCTTCCCATAAAGGAGCACAGCACAATGCTCTGCTACAGTGGCCAGGATTTTGCGAGGGGGGGGGGCATTGAAAAAAAAATTTGCATCGATAACTTAAAGTTGTGATACACAATGGCTAGAGGCGTCGCCTGTGGGCATTCTTTCATATATGTATCTATGTGCCATTTTTACCGTTATATATTTTTTGTCTACTCGGTTATTCCATGGGGAATTCATGCTTTATTTAAATTTAAAAAATTAAATTACTACACCATTTTAATTAATTAGTGTGTAGTCCAGTTTTGTTTTGTAGAAGTTTCGTTAGTATACACTTCAGTTTTTACACATTGAATATATCTGCATATTTATATATTTACGCGTATCTATTTACATTTATTTATGTACAAGTCTACAAAATCTTATTACTTATAAAGCGATTTTTAATCTTCGTTGCTTAACACACATTTTTTCAATTACTTCTTGTGTTGTAATCGGCACATCATTATGTACCGCTAACATCGTTAAACCATTCAGCAGCTCCTTAATTGTATAAAAAGAAGGGACAAATAAGATAGCATATTCAACAAATTAGTAGTCCACTTGCAAAGTGCGCTATGTAAAATTTTTTCGATTTTTAGTTTTTGGTGGATTACGTAGCAGTATTTAAAGTAGTTTCATGTCCACTAACAACACAGTGCAAAATCTTTTTATTTTCTGAAAAAATTAGCATCAAATGTTAACTCTTCTTCCAAAAGTCGCTATCATACTTATAAACTTTCAAAAGTATACATCCTCTGATGAACTTAGAAAACTGCTTTAGGTCGTATAGACTATTAATGTTATCTTATGTCATGTTATGTTATGTTCCAATTTTATAAGGCTCTTATTTATCTAAATTTTCAGGTAATAATAAAAAAGATTCAATTTAAATGTTACTTGTTGTCGTAGTCGTTTTTTCAAATTTATGGCTTTCTATTATAACTTCACAAAACGCTATTTGCAAGTGGACTACTCATATAATCATTAAAAGATAATTTGTCATCCGTCTGAAACAAAAAAATTTTAAATCTGAAGGATAAAATAGTATTGTGATATTAATTCAAAAGTAAATAATTGTAGTTCAATGACGAAGGGGGGGAGGATCTATCCCCCCAATCCGCGCCCCCCTGGCTACGCCACTGCTCTGCAAGCAATTCCTAGTAGGGAGCCACAGACGTGAACACCCGAACAGACACTTGCTTGCAGATGAGCCCTCGCCAAGGCACGTCAGAAGGCATCTATATGAACTGACGGACGAAGTCCAGAGGTTCATAAAACAACCTCTGAACCCGTCAGCTTACCGATAGACCCTGAGGGGCATTCACAGGGAGTCAGTCTCGAGTTATGTAGACTCCAGACCTGTGAATGCCGTTCTAGGCACACAACCACCTGACATCGACGAGACGGAGCTTCGTATACTTCGGGAGACCAGAACCACAATAGCCCAACTTCGTTCTGGCTACTGCAGCAGGTTAAGGTCATACCTGAGCAGATTAGATGCAGATGTGCCAAATGAGTGTCCGGCATACGGAGAGACACCCCATCGATACTACTATCGTCGTGAAAGGCACTGAATCGAAATGCTCAACTGCCTGAAAATTAAATAATTAATAAATTTATAAAATTTATAAATTACTTTGTAAATTAAAGAGATTGTATAATTTTTTTTTTTTTAATTTTAGTGCATCAAAAAGAACTTCTTATAATAATAAAATAAACTTATTAATTTATGCGTCTGAATTATATAACTTACATACACTTGCATCCCCTTGAATAGCGACAGGCAAAATCTGAATTTATTTTTTATATGGCAAAATTAAATTCGGATTTTGTTTGTCCCTTTTGAAGTGCAAAGAAGTGAAATTGGCTACAATAATACATTTCTAATACTACAAAACAAAAGAAAAGATATTCGTTTAAATTGACAACTCATACTTATAAAAGTTCAACCGAGATCAAATACGGAGGCGCATATCAAAATCCGGACAAAGGAAATTCTTAACGGTTTACCAAATTATAAGAAAACGAATATAGTACTGCTCAAAATAATAGCACCACAACATTTTTTAGCAGTTTTGACAATTTTTTTGTTTATTTAGTGCCTACTAATTTTGTATAAAAGTTGTAAAAAACATAAAAAACTACAAAATAAATAAAAACTCAAGCTTTTTAATTCGAATTTCTTTAAAAAATTTTGGGTAAGCAGTTTTATAGCCTATTAAATTTTACTATAACTCAGTGTAAGCTTATAGTTGCTAAACATTTTTTTTGCCGACTGTGTTGTGATTTTCTTGCATAAAAAAAATTAATGTAATGTGTAGGGATGTGAAGAAGAGACATTGTGAAGTCTTACTAAAACAGACATCGATAGTTTTTAAAAACTAACTTTGCGTGTTTTTAAAAACTGTCGATAGTGGCGACAGTTTTCAACTATCGATACTATCGATATTGCTATCGATAGTATCCCAGCTCTACCCCACGACTCGAAACATCTCTTCGTATGCCCGGATAACCCCACACAACTAACGAATCTGTACCGCTTCTTGGGTCTTCCGTTAGTTGAGCTTGGTGACAACGACTGAGATACTAACCGATCTGGGCGGGGTTATTGTAACGTATGGTGAATGAAATCCGAACAAACGTATGATAGTGAAAATAGAATATGAAATGAAATTTGTTTTATTTAAAGTCAATTTATTTTTGTATTTAGATATAAAAGTTTAATTTATAAAAAACCCAAACAGACAGCTGCTTGCAGAGGAGCCCTCGCCTAGGCACGTCAGGAGGCATCTATATGAACTGACGGACGCAGTCCAGAGGTTCATCAAGCAACCTCTGGACCCGTCAGCTTACCGATTGGCCTTGAACGGCATTCACAGGGAGTCAGTCTCGAGTTATGTAGACTCTAGACCTGTGAATGCCGTTCTAGGCATATCGCCCCCGGACATAGACGTGACGGAGCTTCATCTGCCTCGGGAGACACGAACGACAATAGCCCAACTCCGCTCTGGCTACTGCAGCAGGTTAAACTCCTACCTGAGTAGATTGAATGAGGATGTGCCAAATGAGTGTCCGGCATGCGGAGAGACCCCACATGACTCGAAACATCTCTTCGCATGCCCGTAAAACCCGACAACCCTAACGGCTTTGTCCTTGTGGACCAACCCAATAGGAGCTGCACGCTTCCTAGGACTGCCGTTAGCGGAACTTGACGGCAACGACTGATATACCAACCGATCGGGGTGGGGTTGTTGTAGCCGCTACAACAACAACAACAAAGAATGAAAGGAAGTGAAATCTTCGACACACGTAAATTTTAACGATATCAAAAGAATGAGAAAGTGAAAACCTTTGACGCCTCCACAGTCATAGAACTGGATATCCTTGCGCAATCTTATTGGCTAGGCGGATCCGCGTCCCTATACTCCTAGGCTGGAACCCACCACCACAAATCCAATTGGTTAACATATTTTGTGGTCCTGCAATAGCCACCAGTCTTCGTCTAGGTACGCCCGTTTTGGGTGCACGTTGTCGTTCACATAAGAACACGGCAGCCACTCCTTGATTTCGATGGCACTTCCAGCGTACACATCAGAACACACTGGAGATTGCGATAGG